GGTGGGACATGCTGGGGACACTTCTGGGGACAATGTTGGGGCACAGCGTTTGGGACAACGCTGGGGCAGTGCTGGGAGCGGTGCTGGGGGTGGGGACACTGCTGGGACAGTGTTGGGACATTGCTGGGGACATCCGGGGCGAGGTGGGGCACCCAGGCGAGTTGGGGACACCCAGACAAGTGGGGACCCCCAGCCCCTTCCCTGTCCCTTTGTCCCTTGGCCGTGCCCCTCAAGTGTCCCCCCTGGCCCTGGGGACACCAGCGGGTGGCCGGGACCTGCTGGAGGTGTGGCACTGGGGACAGCGGCATCGTGCCATTGGTGTGGCACCTGTGGGAGCCAGGGCACCCCAAAACTCACCCAGGGACACCCCAAAACTCACCCAGGAGCAGCCCAAAACTCAGCCAGGAGCAGCCCAAAACTCACCCAGGGACACCCCAAAACTCACCCAGGGACACCCCAAAACTCAGCCAGGAGCAGCCCAAAACTCAGCCAGGGACACCCCAAAACTCAGCCAGGGACACCCCAAAACTCAGCCAGGAACATCCCAAATCTCATCCAGGAACATCCCAAATCTCACTCAAGGAAACCCCAAAATTCAGCCAAGGATACTCCAAAGTTCATCCAAGAATATCCCACTATTCAGCAGGGAACATCCCAAAATTCAATGGAAACACCCCAAAAATTCAACCGGGGACAGCCCAAAATTCAACCAGGAGCACCCCAATACTCCCCCAGGAACACCCCTAAAGTCATCTGGCACACCTCAGATTTCAGCCAGGAAGATCCCAAAATTCAGCCGGGGACACCCCAAAATTCAACCGGGGACACCCCAAAATTCAGCCGGGGACACCCCAAAATTCAACCGGGGACACCCCAAAATTCAGCCGGGAACTTCCCAAAATTCCACTCGGAACACCCCAAAATTCAACCGGGGACACCCCAAATTTCACCCACGGGGGCTCTGTCCCTTGGGGGCTCCCGTTGTTCCCCCTCATTCCGCCTTGGCCGGGACCACCGCAGCACCCGAGCGACCACAGGACCAGGCGGAGCTTTCTTATAAATTTATTACATAATAATAATAATAATTAATAATAATAATATAATATAAGAAACATAGATCTCTGTGGGGGATGTGTATCACAACGTCAAGGGCGGGAGGCGAATGGCCGCACCTCCGTGACTCCGGAGAAGGAGAAAGCTCCTCCGAAAATCCATACAAAATTAAGGGTGAAGTCAAACTGACCCTGGGAAATTAAAAACGGAACGAAAACCCACAGGTGAGTCCGGCTGGGGGGACGGAACCGAGAGTGTGGCGGGGCCGGGCTGTGCACATGCAGCGGGCGTGAGGGCGTGGCACATGCATGGGCGGCGGGCGCGTGGCCGGACGGCCGGACGGCGGCCCCGCCACGGACGGGGCCGGCGAGGCCGGTGCCCCCCGGGAGCCGAGTGACCCCAGGGGGTTCTGCTCTTCGTCACGGTCGCGGCTACGGACGGGCGGATGGAGGGGGGCGATGGCGCCGGGCTGGACAACGGAAAAATATCGACAGCTCGGGGTTGGGGGGGGGAAAAAAAAAATCCCCCTTCGGAAGCGGGGGGGGAAAAGAAAAGGAAAAGTGTCTCCCTTTGTACAGCGGAAAAACCCGAGTGGTGGAGAAGCCATGGGAGGAATCACAGTTACCGCCGCGGCCCGGGGGCGGCGTGGCCGGGGAGCGGCACGGCCGAGGGGTTGGCGTGGCCGAGCCGTGGTCGAGGGGTCGGCGTGGCCGAGAGGCCAAGCGGTGGTCAAAGGGTCAGCGCGGCCGAAGAGCTGGCGTGGCCGAGCTTTTGGCGTGGCCGAGCGGCCGGCGTGGCCGAGGGGCCGGCGCGGCCGAGGGGTGGTCAAGGGCTTGGCATGGCTGATGGGTTGGCGTGGCCGAGGGGTCGGCACGGCCGGTGGGTTTGCCTGGCAAAGGGATGGTGAAGCTCTTGGCGTGGCCGATGGCTTGGCACGGCCAAGGGGTCAACGCGGCCACTGGATTGGCACGGCCGAGGGGTTGGCGTGGCCGAGGGGTGGTCAAGGGCTTGGCACGGCCAATGGATTGGCACGGCCGAGGGGTTGGCGTAGCCGAGGGGCGCAAAGGGTCGGCACGGCCGATGGGTTGGCACGGCCAAGGGATCAACACGGCCAATGGATTGGCACGGCCAATGGGTTGGCGTGGCCAAAGGATCAACATGGCCGAAGGGTTGGCACGGCCAAAGGGCCAAGGGGTGGTCAAGGGGTCGGCACGGCCGAGGGGCTGGCATGGCCGAAAGATTGGCACGGCCAAAGGGCTGAGGCGCGGTCAGGGCCTTGGCACAGCCAATGGATTGGCGTGGCCGAGGGGTCAGCATGGCCGATGGGTTGGCGCGGCCAAGGGGCCAAGGGGTGGTCAAGGGGTCGGCACGGCCGATGGGTTGGCGTGGCCGAGGGCTTGGCATGGCCAAGGGCCAAGGGTGCTCAAAGGGTCAGCACGGCTGGGGGTCAGTGTGGCTGGGGGTCAGTGTGGCTGGGGGTCAGTGTGGCTCAGG